CCGATGATACTTTGGATTCACTGCGTTATGCGAAATTTTGTCAAAAGATCTCTACAGGCAACTCTTTTGTGCAACCTGAATGCCTCCCACCGACATCAGCAGCCGCCAGTTATCACAGCCTGAGGGTATATCATCAAGTTCAGGGATGGAAAGGGGTGGCGCTTCCTGCTGAAAACTGGGGTTGGAAGCTAGAAGATGACAGATTGTTACCTGTGAGAACAAGCCTTCCAGCAGCTCATGCGTCTTTGCTCGAGATGGTAAGGTGTGGATGCAAGACAGACTGCAGCACCCAAAGATGTTCATGCAGAAAACAAGGGCTCGAATGTTCCGCTGCGTGTGCTTACTGTAGAGGACAAAGCTGTTGTAATTCCTCACAACTAGATTTCAGTGAAGGAGATGAATGAGAGGTCAAATGAAGCCATAATTTTCCTCGACATGAGATTGATTATAACGCTTATGATGTATATGTACAGGTTCTTAAACGTCTGTTAATTATAAGCAGAGTCTGTACATTTTTTTTTAACTTATTCTCGTTATTTTGTGGCCCATTTGATTGGGAAGCAAAGTGTATAAAATATGTTTATATATTTTTACTTCTGTAGTAACTTAACTTTAGCACACTAGTCACTTTTTTTTAAGTTGTGGGTACCCTGTGGTAAATTCGTTATTCGACATTTGACCATGCTCTAAGGCAGAAATGTTTCCAAATATTTCATATGTAACTCAAACAGCCCCTATCTATTACTTGACAGGAAAAGAAATTAGTTTAAAACGTTTTTTACCTCAAAATCTAAGATAACTAAAATTTTCCCGTTGTGGGAACCCTGTGGTAAATGTCGATTTAAATTATGCCCAGTTTGACTATGTTCCACCACAGGAATTTTTGCGAATTTTTAGTATGTTACTTAGCTAACCTCTATCTATTGTTAAGCAGTGAGAAAAATTCTTTTACAATTTGTTTGACCTTAAATCACAKGATGACTGGACTAAAAGTCGTGCGCTGATGCTGATCGTCTCGTCCTGTTGTTAAGGTGACACTGATTGACGTCACTGTTGTTATGGTGATAGTTGATTGACAGGCAGAGGGTTTTCTTTTCAATGCAYTTGTAGATACAGTCGGGTATTGTTGGAACAGAAATGTTCTCTATCACGCTGTTCAACAATCGTGAACCTGAAAAGATGGAGAGTGATTTAAGTGATTATTACGATAAATAAATAGGTTGCTTCCTCTAAACGGTTTAACGCTTTGCGTTCTCTTTTCGGGGTAAGGTTTGAAGCTAGTCGAGAACCTCAGACTAATGGAGAATGTGGAAAATTAGGAACATTTTTAGGTACATTACTGTAAAATCTATTCAACAAATTGCGAACAGTTTTTATATGTTCAAAACTCAAGGAACCCACGAGAGCAGTGAGCATGTTAATACAATGAGACATTAGACCTCAAGTTATATTGGTGAACATCGGAAATTCCAATAATACTAAAATATCAAACGAAGGATTTTGTGAAGGAATTTACCTTTATAGGTATCAAAATGTGCTTGTTTGTCGTTACAATYCAGGGTCTTGKAGTCTGGAATTATGGCTTCAAAGATGAGAAAGACGAAGAYTCCGATGAAAGTCATCCTTGTTTGACCATTTAGATATGAACTCTTAAATCAATAGGTTAAAATTTATCCTGGAAGTAAATTAAATGAATAATGTCTGATAATAAATTSATAACAAATTTATAGACAGAAACAGCAAATAGCTAATAAATCAATTCATTTTGGACTTTGAAATGAAGACTTTCAGCGTGTTTTAATGGTCGTTCTAATGACGGCAAACTACATGACGTGTACTAATTCCTAGCAGCGGGAACCGTTGATTTGTGCCTCAACTCGCGGGGAAACATTTGCAAATTGTTAGGAATATTGTAATTTTTTTCATTCTTTGTTTTGTTTATGGTAAGCTCTTGTTGATGTAAAATAAAACAGCGAAAATGGAGTATTATATCTAAACACCAGGGAAAGCTGTCTGATTCACCTTGCTTCACAAAAAATATTTCTTTCTTTTTTTATAATTAATTTTCTCCGTAAATTACTTTCTTTCGATTGCGCCGTTTATCATCGATTTGGCGACTGCTGATTTTTTTCGTTCTTTGTTTTGTTTATGGTAAGCTCTTGTTGATGTCAAATAAAACAGCGAAATCTTGCTTCACAAAAAATATTTCGGAAATYAATTTTCTCCGTAAATTACTTTTTTTCGATTGCGCCGTTTATCATCGATTTGGCGACTTTTTGCGGCTTGATTTTTCAAAGCGAACATAATTCCTTTCTTTGACCAACGCCTAGAAACAAAGCTTTTACCTRGACACTGAAATTGTTTTGCATTTGTTTGTTTTCGAATTACTTTATCTATGATAGAGTTTTTAGAAAAATGTTATGATAGAGTTTTAAGAAAAATGTTTCCAACTTACTTTGGTTTTTTCACCATGCAGATTTATTGAGCTCCACTCATCACTGCCGACTCTGGAACAGTTTCGTATGTCTGAAGAACAAAACAAATTCTGACAATTTCTAGCCAGCTTAATTTTTAATGAACTTGTGCAGCAAATGATATGTTGATATCACTGTAGGGTATATATAGATCCATTTTCCAATGTCTTGGGAAACAGACTTGTTAGAGAAGTCGAGATGGGGAAAAAAAAATATTGATATCGCCACAGGGAATGCATTCGATATCTGTCTTGACGTTATTATCCAAAAGTCATTAAAAATGGGATTTCGTTCATGGAACTGAATCACGTGATCGTATAATTATAGTGATTACGTATAATTATAGTGATTACGCACGTTCGCAAATGAAAAAATCTGTGAAAAAATTGTTTAAAAGTCGAATACATCAGCGTCTTACCTGTTTTTTTTTTTTGTTTGTTTGTTTTTTTTTTGTCTGAAGGCTATTCTACAAATATCAATAGTCTCCTCTAAGATCGATAGAACTACGATATTGACGACATGATACAATTTATCGTGTAATCATCTATGAAACAACTACTATATTTCTCAATACACCATTTCGCGGATAATTCGAAATTTTACAGTACGTTGTTATGATAAATCATTGACATCACTGGAAAGAGCTTCATAAAATCAGCAAATTTTATAAGTTTGAAAATAATCTGATTTAAATTCAGAGAGATATGGCACTTCAAAAACACTAAATTTTGCATAGAAATGTTTGGCGAGGTTGTAACAGGTCAAGGTCAACCTCGATCTCATGCCGACAGCACATACATTTCTTTGTAAATTTTGCCGACTTTTAAACGCTGTATCTCCTTGAATTTTCATCGAATCATGCTCAAACCTGGTAAACATACTAATTTTATACTGTTCTTTCCAGTGGTGGTAATAGTTTTTCGATATTTGCTCAAGTTATCCGCGAAGTGGACTATGAGTTATATTTCTTTGAAACTTGGCATATTTACCATCATTGATGTGGCAAAATGGATACTAGATTTATTTTTCGTTAATTCGGATTCATGGTCGTGTTATATTCGTAACTCTCACTCGTGAGAGATCTTTTCAAMCCTAGAAGATAAAATCCGTATCTCCGTTCGTCCGTTACTCGTCTCCTCGCAGCCGTTCTTAGTGTCGGGCTCCCTGTCCCCCGCCACTAAGAWCGGGGGCGGGGGACAGGGAGCCCGTTACTAAGAACGGCTGCGAGGAGACTATTCGTCCGTGTAATATCCTGTATTTTAGTACTTATCAGTTATTATTTCATACTTGATTCAGTTTTCTTTGTTATTCATAGTGCTGTATCTAGCTTATTCCACAGCTCATTTTGTATTCAAGTGCTTTATATCGAAGTTTCAGGAATAATACTAATGTATATTGCCCTTGAAAACTAATGTACTTATTGCCCTTGAATACCTAATTAACTACTACGTTCAACTTAGAAATTTTCCGTCTGAAACTTTAAACTTGAAAGAAAGAAAGAAAAATTCAAATGACACCAAGTAGATTCGAACCCACAACCTTAGCTTTGAAAATCCTATACTTAACACGTTATGCTAACTGACTAATCGATGTCAATTATGGAAATAAAACAGTTATTTAACATTGTCCAGTTACTTGTTACAAAAGGTTAGCATTGCTCTCATGGGACTAACGAGAAAAATGGTTATGCAAATTATTCCCATTGGGAATTGTCAATAACCTTTCTAATCGAGGTTTTGGTTTTTAATTCATATAAAAACGGCTTCTTTGCCTATTTCAAAATGAAAATATCAATGCAGTACTTGGAAAACTTCTTCAAGTATGAAATAAGCCAGACGGCCCCTCCGTGCTTTATATGGCTTATTGCATATTGCCTCCGTTCTCGGTATTTATCTCTTACAAGTTAATTTTCACTGTATATTTACTACCCTTCTCAAATTCTATAGTATTCACAAAACATTTGACTATTAATCACACTTTTACTGCCTCTGATTTTCCTATAACTAAATATCTAATATCCTCATACCTGCATAGATTAGCTTTCTTTATTAGCAGTTAAAACTATAAATAATTGATTGTCCATACATTGATTTTGGGACTAAACTCCTTCTAACAGCTAAACATTGCAGTGAAAGTGGCGAATTCACTGAGGTGGTGTTTTTTAAGTTTCATGATCTTTCTTGTATGAAGATCCGACTTTCCACATTTTACCATGAGCAAGAGCATATTACATTTCAGTTAATAAAAATAAAGGTATGTACCCTCAAAAGTCTACCCGGCATGCGCCTAAAGAAGGGACAACACAACTTTGTTAGCACATTCACTTGAAAAGGTGATTACTTTACAATTTGTAAATTTACATTTTGTAAATGTCTTTTAAATTTTTCTCAATTAATCAATGTAAATATCGTGTAAAATCAATTTTCAAAGTTTTTAAAATAACATTTTGCCTGTAATTTAAATAACTTCTACAGTAAATTTACAGACTCTCTGTAAATGATCAACTTTTCCAGTGATTGTGGCATTTTCCACAATTCTTCCAGCTCTGCACAGCAAAAAAGCTTTAACTGAATTTTTGTATAATTGCGTTATTATTCGTACTTTACACAGGTTTTACACAATCAAAAGCAAATCTTCTAATAATCACGAGGGCCGCGTGAAACAATTTGGAAGTTAGAAAATCCGCAACAGCTTTTTTTTTTTGGAAGTGCTTTCTACACCCATAAAGCAAGTGCTCTATATTCAATAGTATAGTAACGTGACACAAGTCTATTTCTATATTTACTAGTATTCTCCACTTGGACTTATATAATCATATATCAATAAGCTATCTGACATAAATCTTCCAATAATCTCCAGGAGTAGTTTCAACGACTTTTGAATCACATGCCATCCCTAGTGTACCTTCTACAAGCCAGTGATACGTGCTTGTTACATAAAAAGCATGATCATTCAGTCTATACTCGTTTACTCTCTTCGGGCTGCCCCATTTCGCATTTTTCCAATAAGTGCACTTGTCAGCGAGCTTTGAAGTGTCCCCGATTCCTCGATAAAATGAGTTGCAGGCTTGAGGTCGGACATCAGATACTGCAGTGAAGTAGTCGATAACAGCTTTGCCTTCGGAGTTTAGTGTTGTTATCASGTGAACAGTACGACCAACGCGTGCTACACGGCAATGAAATCTGAGCTGGGTAAAATTAATGTGTTGGTGAAGTTGGCGCAGTGCACTAGCTGAAAGGATGGTTTTGTCATCGCTGTAGTTAGCGATATCACGAAACGATGTGCGCAAAGACAGTGATGGAATGCTGACTGGATCTGGAATGACGACATTGGAGATGAGCAGCCATCCACCTTCAGATACAAAGTTAGGCGATACATTAATGATAAGGAAAGAATTAGAGGAAGAATTCCCCGATCTCTTCTTCACATAGATTAAACAATGAGCAGTTTTCCCAGTGGAATTGAAACTGTCCGAGCAACAAACACAAAAAATTATCGAATATTTTTAATAAATTCATTAGCTTTTCCTGATGAAAATGTGAAAAAAAACATATAATACAAGGCAAGCAAGTTCCTACATATCGCAGCAATCGGTATCTTTTCCCTGTTCTATATCAAAGGAATATTTTCGCTTGTCAGACGTAGCAACAGTAACTAGGGAAGTAGCAGGCTTCATCACAGCTGCCATGCCATCTTGGAGGAACTTTAACAAAGRATTTCTCATTAGTATCTATTGTTCATTCCTCCAACATGGACGCCGGTCTTTTATCTTGTGAATCTCATGGGAATAGGTGAAAACGATCAATATCTACGATCGATGAGAGTGTCTTAAGTAATATGTATGAAACAATATATTTTAAAAATTGAAGGAAAATAAATGACAATTGAAGGAAACAATCTTGTAATGACCTCACCATTATTGTGATTCATATCACAGTAAACCTGTATAGCATTCCCAGAATTCTCTGGATCAATCCAGTATTTCCCATCATGCACTGCGTCACCATTTGACTTGATGTCACTACAAGATTTAGCAGGTTTATGGGATGACCACCCAATTCGCTCTGAAATAATATATCATGATATTAAAAGCATCTCGGGAATCGAAATTGGGGCAGCCGTAATCGTTCAAGCCTAGACCTAAGGCGGTCAAGAGTTAAGTTTTTTTCTGAAGGACAAGGACATTTAATTATGTAGGATATGAAGCCTAGTTTCTACATTTAATATCGGCGATGAACACAACAACCTGAACTTTAATAAGCTTTTCACTAATGGTTCCCACTCACCTATTTCACATAGCGAACCCTTGTATGTTGGCAAACAGCTACAAAAGAATCCCTTGTTGCTGTTGTCTGTAGAACACGTACCACTGAATAAACAGGGATTCGAACGACAGGGATTCTGAAATATAGCAAACGTGAAACCAGATATCAGGCTCCATTTATTTATTATTACGGGTTTGRTGTCGAAATATTGTGTCTAGCAACTCCCCCTTCGCCATCCCCTTATAAGAACGACTATGAAAGTATTGCCATGCCTACCTTTTCATAATAAGTGTATCTGGGATCCGATTTGAAGTCATCAGCTGGTGCTGATTGTCTCGTCCTGTTGTTAAGGTGACACTGATTGACGTCATTGTTGCCATGATGGTAATTGATTGAAAGGCAGAGGGTTTTCTTTTCAGCGCACTTGTAGATACAGTCGGGTATTGTCGGAACAGAAATGTTCTCTACCACGCTGTTCAACAATCGAAAACCTGAAAAAAGGAGAACGTGGAAAATTAGGATTTTTTTTTTAGGTACGTTCAGAAGTACATAACCAGAAGTGGTTGTGTACTTCTGGTACTTTCCTGTAAAATCTATTCAATAAAAATTGTTTCTTCCTGTTGTTAAGTTAAAACTGGTTGACGTCATTGWTGCCATGGTAGTWGTTGATGCACTGGCAGAGGCCCYCTTTGTTAGTACACTATTGAAACAGTCATGTAGTGCATCAATAGCAATTTTCTCCTTCACGCCGTTCAACAACCGAGAACCAAATAAAGACTGACTTTACCTTTATGTACTACGTAATCACAGTTATGATATCGTTGTACATGGCACACCAATTCCCGAATCAAATCAAATTGTTTGAAAGCAATTTTAGTGCAAGAAACTCGATCTTTTCSATTCGCCCACTTTCGCGAAGGTCTKTCTCACTTTGAATTTTATCCCTAGCCACAAAATTGATATTCTCTTTTTGATTTTCTTGGCTAGTTCGGTTCGATTTTTAGTACCCCTTGTTGCACCCTCCTTTTTCCATAATCTTTTTCATTTTTTCACTCAATTTAATTTAAATTTCTTATTGTATCAGCTAAATTCTGACATAGTAGTTAAAATCCTTGAAAAAACACTGGTGAACCCTAATTCCTATTTTTTTCTTGACTTTTTCCTTTTTTTGTTTTTTTAAAGAAGTAATTCAAAATCTGAAATATGAAAAGAAGTCGCGAGCAAAAAATTATATTCTTAAAATTGGAGGATTAATGATGGCGCTCTAATTTCTAAATATTAATCTACTGTATATGCATACATACTGAAAACCAGTATAGTCACCTTGATGTTTGTCAAAGTAAACTTGATGGTCGCCACAAACCAAGGAAGCAATGGTAGGAATTATTGCTTCAAAGATGAGAACGACAAAGGCTCCAGTTTGAGCCATCATGCATACTTGGCCTCTTGCAAGACTCACACTGAACACACTGAATTTCTGAACTATATGAAGGTGAAATGCATTTTCATGCGGCGTTGCACTTGAAAAAAATATAACGAAAGAAGAGAAATAATTAATTATTAACACTTAGGTTGTAACTTATGAATTAAATTATATGTACTTTGTAATTTAAAACACTGCATGTAACATGTGTGAATCGTGTAACATGTAACATGTGTGAATCGCGGGGAGTAATAAGGAAAACTGAACTGTACTGAAAACTCTATTGTTTAATTTTAATAGACGGCTTCTTTGTCTTTTGTTTTCATTGCTAAGACTACAAAAGATATAGGTATGAGATGCTGTGGCTGAAAAGGGGTCTTACACTATAATAATGTTTCGACCTTCGAACTGCATATGTCAACTGCGCCATAAAAAGGATTATCTTAGCCTTGAGCACCCCTTTTGAGTTCGCAGACCTCATATCAATATAAAATAAAAAAATATTTTTGTATATTACAATCAGTTTTATTGAGAAACCAAACGTTTTTTTAGGATAATTAAATTATCARGACATTTGTTACAAATAAGCTTGAGTTTTGATTCACTGACACGGCAGTTTGCGTTAGTTTGTGATCATTGATTTTTGAGCTCTAGGCTCCAATCCATTAATCTTAGATGTACTTCGTGAAGCAGGTTTCAACGTTACAGCCAAACCTACTGAAGCGTGCCTATCGAGGTTGGAAGGCTCGATTTATTATTCCAAATTTGGTTTCAAATTTATATTTAAACGTGCAAAAACAAAACCGACAATGTAAATTTCAAATCTGACGTCGATTTGAACCTCGATTCCTGATTGGATTATTCCAAAAATAAACAGTACGTTACATATTTCGAAAAAAAATGGCGGCGGTGAATAGTCTTCAGTGGCCGTACACCCCAGGAAAACCTTTATCGATTGCTGAAAGACAACACATTATACAATTATTTAACGGCGGACTCACAAAAACGGAAGTTTCTGAACGGCTTCGCGTAACTTTTCGGTGCGTAACAAACGTCATAGAACATTATCGTCGGTATAGCTCTGTCAATCCGTTAGGACATAGCGGTAAGCAGCCTGTTGCTTTGACATATGATATTCTGGAGGACATAGAGGTTTGGAAGCATCAGAAACCATCCTTGTATCGTCGACATCGTGAAACAACTTTTGGAATGCACTGCCGCGAACGAGTGAACGTCATTCCCGCGCTTTACCCAACATGAACTTCGTTTTATTATTGGAATAATCCAATCAGGAATCGAGGTTCAAATCCACATCAGATTTGAAATTTACATTGTCGGTTTTGTTTTTGCACATTTAAATATAAATTTGGAACCAAATTTGGAATAATAAATCGAGCCTTCCAACCTCGATAGGAACGCTTCAGTAGGTTTGGCTGTAAGTCGACTCATAGACCTTCGAGCGTTTCCAATTTTATCCATAATCATTTCTAGGGTCTTTCTAGTGAGGTCAGTTATGGTCCTTCTACATATAACAATAACACTACAGTWATTAATATGTCATGTGCGAAAAGCTAATGTATAATACAAGTTTAAAATTGTAACCAYACAACAAAGGAAGGCTCTAGCTTCCTCCACAGACATCTCTCTCAGTCCTCTCATACTTGCTCTCTCGCTCTCTTTCGTACAACTGCACGTAAATAAAAAGAAAAGGAGTTTATATGGAGTTGCCTGCGGAGGCGGCAAGRAAGGCTCAAAATTGTCAAATGTTTGACAAAATAATAAAACGTTTGTGTGAAACGTACTTCCTATGGAGGGAGGAGAGGGGGTTGTTCAGTCAACCAAAATATAAGCTGGTATCTGTTTTAGGGTATCTTTTAATATAACATATCTCCAAGGTACAAATCCGCACCTACAACCGGCACCACAAGCTGGATTCCATCCTTACTATTTTATAATGTGCATACCATTGTGCTTGGCTAAGAAAGTTTATTACATTGGTTAATACTCCGTTTCCAAATCATAACTTGGGTATGCCTGATTTGGCTATAAGACCCAAACCTGCATAAAGAGATGCAATAATTATAATTATAATGGTTTACTCAAATACTTAACTCTTACATAATCAAATAGGAAGTCCTATTAAAAATATAGGCCTGTGGATTCCYTTGGAGCTGTCTACCATCCGTAAGCACTTATTCTATACCTTTATTTAATTTAATTCCCTGAACTTAAATAAAAAAATCAATACTTCTTATACGATATCTCTCGGATGGTAAATGAGTGATGATTAAAGTGAAATAAAAAAAGATTAAATAATGGACCAATTCAACTTGTCTATATTTACTTTTTACGTTTATAGATTTTGCATTGTTGAGTTCAGACCAATCAGATTTCGAGTAAGGTGTAGGGCAGGGAGTCTGACATTATTTATTTCTTGTTGYTTTTGTCTCATGTTGTGACTTCGGTGCAAAACACTTTGAACTATCAGCAACCACAGCATTGGTGTTTTTAACTCTCTGAAACGTTTCGTGCCTAACGCACGTAAATCTTCCAGTAATCACCAGGATTTAAAGCACTGTCAAATGCATTGTCGCATTCTAGTCGAGAGAGTGATGTTGCTACTAACCAGTGGTATATTCCATGCACATAAAGTGGATGATCAATAAGCCGCCATTCGTTTATGCCACCCACTTCTCCACTGCCCCATTTTCCTGACCCTTTACCCCACTGAGCACACTGTCCGGCGACCTKGGAATTGTCCCCGGTCCCTTGGTAGTATGACTGGCACGCTTGAGGACGAATATTAGAAACTCCAGTGAAGAAATCTACAGCATCGTAGCCTTTAGAGTTTGCTGCTGTGATCACGTTAACAGTGCGACCGGGGACTGCTCTATGGCATTGATATCTTAGCTGAGTAAAATTGATGAACTGACGAAGTTGTCTCAATGCAGTTGCTGAAATGACGGTTTTCTTATCATTGTAATTGGCAATGTCACGATATGATGTTCGCAATGTCAGTGATGGAATGCTGACTGGATTTGGTAGGATGATATTTGAGATCAAAAGCCATCCACCTT